TTGTGCATTATTGCTGTGCACGGACTTTTCTGAGGTAACTAAGTTTTCACCTCAGATTTCAGACTACCGTGGTGTTTCACAGTGTATCTCATTACAAGGATATTTTCTTGAGGTTAGTGGGTAATTTAGGGTCAACATTACCCCGTTTGTGACTATGTTAATCATAGAGAGGAAATGCAATGTAAGAGGAAATGCAATTCAGTGATTAGAGTTTAATCCCAGTTATTCTGGGGGTGTTTTCTGTTGCAAGATGGCGAGTGTCCGGTATAAGATTACTGGGACCACAAGCCCCCTCTCCTCCCTTCTTCCTGTTCCAGGAAGGCCAAAAGGGAGTCCGCCCTGTGGGGGGTCAGTCAACAGCAGGGCTTGGCCAAGGGTTATGAGGCGTGACAAGGTAGAGGCCTCACGTAGGACACGTCCCAGGCCCCCCTCTTTGAAAAATGGGAACCCGGCCCAGTCTCCTCAGACCAGGGTCTGGGGCGGGGAAGGCAGAGGGTGCGCGGGGTGGGAGTGGGGGTAGGGGCGGGACGGGGGCGCAGGCCCCGGACCTTCCTCCCTTCGGGGCTGGGGCTGAGGGTCGCGCCCCTGCTACTGCTGAGCGACCGTCGGCCGCCTTACCGCGGGCGGGAGGGCGGGCGGGCAGGCAGAGGGCCGGGCCGGGAGCGCAGGACACGAAGGCGCCCAGGCCTGGCTCTGCTTGAAACCGCGCGGCGGGGGACGTCAGGCGAGCACGTGACCTGGCCCCGCCCCGCCCCCGCCCCGCCCCGCCCCGCCCCCGCCCGTCCTCCCCGGCTGCGGCGGCGCCCGGCCAGCCTGCGCCCTGCACGCGCGCGAGCCGCCCGCGGGAACCATGCAGCGGCGGCCGGCGGGGCTCTGGGCCGCGCTCGGGCCCCTGCTGTGGGGCTGCGGGCTGGCGCTGCGGGGCGGCATGCTGTACCCCCGGGAGAGCCCGTCGCGGGAGCGCAAGGACCTCGACGGCCTGTGGCGCTTTCGCGCCGACTTCTCGGACACCCGGCGCCAGGGCTTCGAGCAGCAGTGGTACCGGGCGCCGCTGCGGGAGGTGCGGCCTCCGGGGAGGGGGCGCCGGGCCTGGCGGGAGCCCCTGGAGGCCGCGCGGCGCGAGCGCGGAGCCTTCCCCAGCGTCCTCGGGCTGCCGGCCTGGCGGTGGTTAAAGGGAACCCGCGCGGGGCTGTGGTTGGCCGACCGGGAAAGCGGGCGCAGGAAATGGGCGGGGAGCGGGGACCGGCACCCCGGTGAGCGCAGGGCCGCCGCCCCAGCTGCACCCCACCCGCGCGGGGAGACAGCCTGGGCTGCGTCTGCGGCCGCGCGCGGCGGGGTGGGTGTGTGTAGCTCTGGACGTTCGGGGCCAGCTCAGCCTGGCAGGGAAGACTTTGGGTTGCGAAGCTCAGCTGGAGGACCGAGCTTGGCACCCAGCCAGCCGGCGGCTCCACTCCAGGTCTGCCCTCTAATTTTGGCCAGTCCACCGAGAAGAGGGCCTGAGGCACATCTGTGAGTCCCTCTGGCCTCTCCCCCTCCCAGATCCCGCGCAGGGTTCACGGGGAAGTGAGGGGTCCGGTTGCGAGGCGTGCCCACTCGTCAGTTTTCTCTGGCCTGTACCCCAGCTCTTGTATGCATAAATAAATCTTTAAAAATAATAATAATAATAATAAAAAGAGCAGCCCCTGCCAGCCTTCCTGAAATCGGCGGCAGCTGATCATCTGGGGGGAGGGCGGTCCACATGTCCCACATTCAGGGGATCATCCCCAGGCTGCTTGGAGGCTCACTGCCTTGCCTTCCACCTGACTGCTTCAAGAGGCTAGAGGTCCAAGGGATTCTCTGAGGGGCTCAGGTACACTCAGTTCTGCCAGGGTGTCCTGAGGCGGTGTCCTGAGGCAGTATCCCTCGGGTACTGGCTCCAAAAAGCCTGCCCTGACTCCTAAGGTAATCAGTCCCCTGCCACTCCCCATCCCTCTCAAGCTTTTTTCCAAAAAGTGCCCATCACCTGGCCTGTTCACTCTTTTCCTACTTGCACCTAAAACACTTTTGCTTTTGAATGAGTGAATGACAGGTGTGTACTTCTAGGAGTTGTGAGAATTAAACGAACTCCTTAAAAGACATTGATCAGATGCTGGCAGAGAGCAGTCATGGTGGGGTGACCTGGAATCCCAGGGTCTGGGAGAAGTCACCTTGTTCATCCTTCCTGTAGTCAGGGTTACAGGGGGACTGGTCTCTGGGAAAGTAGCTCCTGGGCCTGAGTCCTAGATGCCTAGGAGATCTGGACCTGATGCTGGCCCTTTGTCCACAGTCTGGCCCCACACTGGATATGCCTGTTCCCTCCAGCTTCAATGACGTGGGCCAAGACAGGTATCTGCGTAGCTTTGTCGGCTGGGTGTGGTACGAACGGGAGGCAACCCTGCCTCAGCGATGGACCCAGGACCTGGACACAAGAGTGGTGCTAAGGATTGGCAGCGCCCACTACCATGCCATTGTGGTCAGTGCAGGGGACAGTGGGCAGGGCTGGTGGGCAGGTGTGGCTGCTGAGCAGGAGGGAGGCTGCCCTGGGTGCCTGACTGCCGGCTGTCACTCCTCTCTGGTGAGGCCACTGGCAGGCCCTCAGCCCCCACATACTGTACTTCTGTGTGAGGGAGTGCCTGAGATGGCAGCGTCCCCTCCACATGCTCTGGCCTGCTGTTCCCTCCCTGTGTCTGCAGTGGGTGAATGGGGTTCATGTGGCAGAGCACGAGGGGGGCCATCTCCCCTTTGAGGCTGACATCAGCAAGCTGGTCCAGAGTGGGCCCCTGTCCTCCTGCCGCATTACCATCGCCATCAACAACACGCTCACCCCTCATACCCTGCCGCCAGGGACGATCCTCTACAAGAACGATACAGCAAAGTGAGCAGCACCCTGCTTCCCCTCGCCTCTCCCAGTGGTCTTCCCATTAGGAGTAGGGCTGCCTTGGCAAAGGTGAGGCGCAGCAGGCATGAGCTGAGGCTGAAGCACCCAGGGCAAGGTCCCAGTTGGCCGTTGTCTTCCCACCCTAGGTATCCTAAAGGTTACTTTGTCCAGAACACACGCTTTGACTTCTTCAATTATGCGGGACTGCATCGGCCTGTGCTCCTCTACACCACACCCACCACTTACATTGATGACATCACCGTCAACACTGATGTGGACCAAGACATTGGTAAGGGCTCTGGGCAGGAGCTGCCCTCAGCCAGATCCAAAGTGGCCTAGTTTCCTGTGAGGAAAGATACCCTGGCAAAAAGGCTTTCCCAGCATTTCTTAACCGTCACAAGGTCCTATGCACCTAAGAAGCTAAATCCAGCCCATCTGGATATACCCGTATTTTGTGAGGAAATGAGATCTGATGACAGATGGAGCGTGCTTACCTTAATCACGTAACTCAGGCTGAATAGCTCAGGAGTCACAAGACTCCATGCCCCTTCCCTGCTGTGCTGCAGCTCTCATCTGTACACCTCAGGTCACTTTCCTCTCTCGTCTGATCTCTTTTGTCTCCTGCAGCGTTAGTGAACTACCAGATTTCTGTCCAGGGCAGTGAACATTTCCAACTAGAAGTGTGTCTTCTGGATGAGGAAGGCAAAGTCGTGGCCCAGGGGACGGGAGGACGGGGCCAGCTGCAGGTGCCGAGTGCCCACCTCTGGTGGCCATACCTGATGCATGAGCACCCTGCCTACCTGTACTCATTGGAGGTAATGGTGGTTAGTTCTGGGGCTGCTCGAGGCCCTCTGCCCCCAGCCAGAGGGCATTAGACAGGGGCATTAGACAGGAGGACAGGCAGGCATCATCCTCTGAGCTTCCTAGTCCATTGAACTGATGTGTTCCCGGCCTGATTTTTCTCAGCCCTTGGTGGAGAGGCCCAGTTTTGAAGAGCGTGGCCAGAGGTCAGGGTGGGCAAAAGGCAGAAGCCTGTGATTTTTGCATCTCCCTCTTGCAGTGGGTGGGCTGCTGTGGTTTATGAGGGGCCTTCCTGCTGCAGGGTGGATAGGTGTGGGGCACCAGCCTCCCACCTGGTACTTGGTGTTCCTAGGTGAAGCTGACAGCACAGACGGCCGCTGGGCCTGTGTCTGACTTCTACACTCTCCCTGTGGGGATTCGCACTGTGGCTGTCACAGAGAGCCAGTTCCTCATCAATGGAAAGCCCTTCTATTTCCATGGGGTCAACAAGCATGAGGATGCAGACGTGAGTTGGGGCTGCTGGGTCCCTTGGGGGCGCTTTCTCATTTTCATCTTCCCCATGCCCCCTGAAACAGTTGAGGGTAGAGTAGAGCAGTTAAACAAATTGTCTGCTAGGGCCTGTAATTGGGCTGGTAGAAGTCTAATGGGGAGACTTGAGAGGTCTGACTCTAGAAGTGCATCTCCAAGGGGGACGGGGGAGGGGGCCATTCTGCTCTGCTGCCTCCTAGATCCGAGGGAAGGGCTTTGACTGGCCACTGCTGATGAAGGACTTCAACCTGCTGCGCTGGCTTGGGGCCAACGCCTTCCGCACCAGCCACTACCCCTACGCGGAGGAGGTGATGCAGCTCTGCGACCGCTATGGGATTGTGGTCATTGACGAGAGCCCTGGTGTGGGCATTGTGCTGCTGTGAGTGCCCAATGCCCATAGTGCCCAGCCTGCACTGCTTGGCGGGTCCTGATGGATTCCTCTTTCCTCCCTCTGTCTTTCCCCCTGCCCTGCAGCCAGAGCTACAACAACGTGTCCCTGCAACACCACCTGGAGGTGATGGAGGAGCTGGTGCGCAGGGACAAGAATCACCCAGCCGTTGTGATGTGGTCAGTGGCCAATGAGCCCACTTCCAAACTGCCACCTGCTGGTGAATACTTCAAGTGAGTGTCCCTCCCTCCCCCAGAGTGGGTCAGGAATGGGACCTCAGCCCTCCAGCCTGGGTAGGCCTTGGGTGGGAGTGTGGAGGTCAGTCCTGGGGTGGGCCTGTGTTGTGGTCACCATCCCTCCCAGCCCAGACTCAAGGGGGCACCATACCTGGTGAGTTTAGGGGACAGAACACCTCCTTAACCAAACTGATTCCAATCAGCGAGCGCCGGTGTCTCCCTTTCACACCTGAAATGAAATCCAGAATTAACCTAAGCTTTTTATACCAACTTCAAATTTTTAACAAATCATGATTGGCCTGTGATATAAAGGAAAGTCATTTCACACGAATGCATAGGCCTGACTCTAGAAGGCCCAGCGAAGGGTCAGACCTGCAGCTAGAAGTGGACTCGCCCTGAGAGCACATCCCAAGAGCTGGTGGGGGACTGCACCTTGGCTTGCGTGGGCGCCCTTTCCTCCCGTGCTGTGCATTCCTGCGCACATTTCTAAACTGAACCCCTTCTAGATGAAGCTGCAAACAAAACCAAGTATGAGTTTCCCTCACTTTTTATGGTTTCACCATTCCTGAGAGATTTGGCTTGTGTTAAAACTGCAAAAAACCACTGGTGCTTCAGGTTTGGGTTACACTTTATAAAATCAGCTAATTGTGGCACATAAACAGCTTTTTCAATGGCATGCATACGATGTTCTAAAGTTTTCGACGTTGTTGTTGGACAGAACCAGGCTGTCTAGAGTGCATGGTCCCATACACTAAATGCCAGTACCGCCCCCTCCCTCTGCCCCCCAGGGAACAGCACGGCAACACTACTTAAAAAGAGGGGGCGTCTCCCCATATTGGACAGGACCAGGCTGTCTAAAGTTCATGGTCCCATTCACTAAATGCCAGTACTGCCCACTCCCTCTGCCCCCCAGGGAACAGCACGGCAATACTACTTGAAAAGAGGGGGCGTCTCCTCATATTGGACAGGACCAGGCTGTCTAAAGTTCATGATCCCATTCACTAAATGCCAGTACTGCCCCCTCCTTATGCCTCCCAGGGAACAGCACTGCAACACTACTTAAAAAGAGGGGCATCTCCCCATATGAAGAGGTTTACTATTTCAGAGGGAGGCTGGCCACCTGGGGTGTTCCTTGGCTCCCTCTCTCACAATTGGACAGTGGTAAGGAGGCCTGCAGAGGGGAATTATTTCACATACTGTAGAGTCGGGAGAGGCCATGGAAATGCCTCCTGGGTCATATAGCACATCCCAGTTTGTGGAGTGCTTTGAGCTGAGCCATTTCTGTTAAATACAGAAAGCTCTGAGGAGTGCCCCCCCCCCTGCAACAACCCCGCAAAGGCCAGCTCCCAGTACAACCCCAGAGCCTGTGGGGTGGGAATATGGAACTGGGGCTGGTGGACAGAATTTCTGCTGTGAGGGCGTAAGGAGTACAGGTTCAGAAATTGATGCCTGGGATTTCAGATGAGCTTTGGGGGGAAAGAGAGGGAGATGCATGATTTTTAGGGCGGCAGGGATGGGGCAGGGTATGGCTAGAGCTGCCCAGACTGGAGATGCTCAGCTGGGTATGGGAGCTTCAGCTGACCAGCAGGTTGTTTGAGAGTATGGGTTTGGGGCTTGAGGGTGAAGGTCACTGGTCTGATATGTAGAAACCACAGCCTTCGACGAGAAGAGATGGCGAGAGTGTGTGAAGGGGGAGAAAAGGTGCTGTGAGAAAAGTGAAGGGAATGACCCAGTGATTGCTAGGAAGGCCTGCCCACAGACTGGTCCCGCTGTCAAAAGCCTCTTTTCACCTGCCCTCCTTGGTTAGCACCATTCAGGATAAATGCCATTTCTTCAGAGTCTGTCGCTGACTCTCCTGTCTCAATTATATGCTGATATAGAGCCTGTGTTCACCCCTTACAATCCTCTTGTCTCCTCTCACTGCAGTTAGTAACATTTACCCATGAAGCTCTGTATGTAGCTGTTCATGTCTCTAGCGAGTGTCCGGTACAGGGCACATTCCCTAACTGTTTGTTAAATTAATATTCCATCCTCATTCACGCCCCATCCATTCCTGTTTTCAAGTTTTTTCAGAGCTTCCAAGCGTAGTTTTTGGCACTGCCTAGGACCTCATCCCTGGGTCTTCTGGCCCCTGCATGGTGACCTCTCCCCTGGGGGTAGGACTTTGGGAGGGAGAAAGAATGACATCAGGGGACATGCCCTAAGGACTAGAGGAACATGGTTACTTCCCTGAAATGCACTTCGAGGTAGGGCAGAGATCAGTGTCTTTGTCTTGGTGGCGATGGGGGAAGGGAGGAGGTGAGCTGGGTATCTGAGAGGCCTGCCTGGACTGATGGCACCTGTGTCTTCTGCCCTCCGTGGACAGGATGCTGATTGCCCATACCAAAGCCTTGGACCCCTCCCGGCCTGTGACCTTTGTGACCAACTCCAACTATGAAGCAGACCTGGGGGTGAGCCTGGGGTCTCCGTACCACTTCTGTCTGACCTCTAGTTCTGCCCTGATGCTTGCTCAAATGAACTGCTGGGAAGAACTCTCTATCCACTGGGCACCATGGCTTCCTAAATCTGAGGAGGCTGGGAAGGGAAAGATTTCATTCATTCTGAGTTCAGACTCAAATTTTTATGCACTTCAATTTAACATCCTCATAAAATGGCAGCAGTTTAAGGGAGCTCATAGGTGCCTTGGTCCAGTGTTCCTTAAACCTGGCTGATTCTCACAATCACTAAGGGAAGCTTTTTGAAAGTACAGCTCTCTGGATTCTGATTTAGTAAATTTAGGGTGGGAACATTAGTTTTTAAAAAATCTTTAGTGATTCCACCAGGAACTGGCTTTGGCAACCATTGACAGAGCCAGCACCCGCTGTTGAGAATGGAAGGGACAGGCTCACCCAGCCGGCTGGACCACAGAGCCTCCCTCACTGTTCTGGCCACAACAGCTCCTGGAAACGACCCAGTGGCACTGAAGCTTTAAGGGACAGGAAATAAAAAATGCTTCTTTGCTAGAGACTTGAAGGCCAGGGCTTCAAAGGAAAGTGCTACAGAAAGAGAAATTATCCAAGGGAAGGATGGATGAGAAAACACTGTGTACAGATGTAAATTGTGAACCCTTATTTTAGCCTGAAAGAAGAAAAGAATTTGTATCTTCTTGCCATCTCTCAAGAATGCCCCTTCAAAGAACCATTAAGGCTGTGCTTAAGCACTAGTGTGGCACAAGGCTGACCTCAACATTCTTGGGAACTGACTGTTTTAGTCTTCTTGTGTGGTCAGAGAAGCCTTTGTGTGGGCACCTGCCTGGCTTCTTGAGAAGGTTGCAGATTTACCTGGTGGGATGTGAACAGTATGTCCACCCAGAGGCACCTTCCCAACTTCTGCCTGCACATTCCTGCCACAATTTGGGCTGTGTTCACTTGGGAAAGAGAACATATCAGACCCAGTGCAGGTTTTGGAGACACATTTGTTCAAGTAGCATTAGATACTAGTTGGGTCGTCCAGTCTCAGACATGAGCTCTGCATCTTGTAGACTCACAGTCCTGCTCCTTCATCTCAACTGTCCTCTCAGGAAGGAATTTTCCAGCCAGTTTCTGGCCTACAGCACCAGCTCATGGGTGGCGTGTTGGACCAAGATTCTCTGGAAGGAGAAAAACTGCATCTGTCCCTCAGTTAGGAAGAGTTCTTCAGGGCAAAGTGAGGGGAGATCAGTGGAGGAGCATTGTCCAGGGGGGAATAAAATCCAATCCGGATAGGCCCTGGGCATCCACTGAGACTAGCTCATCGGGCATCTGCGCTGCCTGTCAGCTTACAGGGCCCAGCTGCAGCCGGGGTAATGTCAGCCCACAATTAACAGACTTATTCCATTCAGGTCACTTCTTGACAGCATCTCCCACTTTGTATGCCAGAGTAGCCCCACAAGTGCGAGTCCTGACTATTCTACAACCTTCTGGTTTATTTTTTTTTAAAGATTGATTTATTTATGCATGTAAGAGCTGGGGTACAGGCCAGAAGTGTGGGGGGTGAGAGGATTTACCAGACAGAGTGGGGAGCAGCAGGAGAGACAGGAGAGGGCTGCTGTGCCAGTGGGTAGCTACCTGGACAGCTGGGGATCAAACTGATGCTGCAAAGGTTGCGGACAGCTTCGTAGGTTGCGTCTTAACCCCTTGTGCCACCAGGGAGGCCATATACTCTTCTGGTTTTTGAACAAACTTTACCACTCTCGTCCCAGGCACCGTATGTGGACGTTATCTGTGTGAACAGTTACTACTCCTGGTATCATGACTTTGGGCACCTAGAGGTGATTCAGCTGCAACTGACAGCCCAGTTTGAGAACTGGTATAAGACCTATCAGAAGCCAATCATTCAGAGCGAGTATGGAGCAGACGCCATTGCAGGATTTCACCACGTAAGGAGTGAACAGCCTGTTTTTCATCCTTGGACAGTGATGTTACTCATCGGCCTGAGTTAGAAATGGCCTTCCCCGTCCCTCTTGTACTGATCATGGCCTGCCCTTGCACTTGAAACTGCCCATGTCTCAGGCCCCTGCCTTTCTTGTGTGGTCCCCAGAGCAGTCTCCCACTAGCTGCTTACATGGTCTTCTAAACAGTCTAAACCCAGGGAGTTTTGTCATTGCTTCTCCTGGCTATGAGGGCAGTTGCTCTCCTTTGCTCTCACTCCTTTCCTAGATCCTTGCCATCTGCCTTCACTCCTGGACAATGTACTCTTCACGCTGCTCATTGGCTCTTCCTACTCTGGCTTGGGCTGTTCTGCCCAGATCTCACTATAGTCATCAACTAAATGGACTCTTATTCTGTGTTCATGTCCCTGTTCAGTTTACCTCACTTGCTGCAGGTGGAGTAAACTCCTCTGCTCGGTGTCCATCGCGGCATTTCTCACTGGGGACTTTCTCCTTAATCACACCATGGGCTTCACACAAGAGACTGAAGCCTATTATTTATTGTTGCTCCCGAGCACACAGCAGGCACTAAATATTTGTATTGGAAATGGGTGAAATCTTGGAGCAAGGTTTAATCATTAGCTTTTTCCTCACTGCTTTGTTCATTTCCTCGCCAAAGATATGCTTCTTTGTCTTGTGGGGATTTTGTCATGCGGATTCTTGAAGCACAGCCTCTTATCCCACTCCAACCACTTCACACCTGTCACAACTACTGGGATTCCCAGTGGACACACTTAATATGCTTATCCTTGGTATGCTGAGTAGCTACCTACTTCTGTAAAAAGGTAAAATGGGGGAAATATGAAGACAATGTAGAT